TTCGTGATTTGATTAAGAATTTTTCTCGGACCTCGCCGATTCTAGTCGAATACTTATAGTCTATAAAATTATTATAATTCATGGTGTTGTTTTAGTCGGCGCAATATTCTGCATCGTTCTCCTCTGAGATAATTTATTAGAATTTCCACTAACGTGGTACACATCAATAAACTTTTAGAGTTCGGTTTCGCTGTGCACAAAGCAGATAAACGAAAATAACGATTGTGCCATCTGTGTAGTTCTGCCGAATATCATTATAATATGGATTTTGCGACCGATAAAATTCGCTTATTATTTTACGAATGCGGTCAATATTATTGAACGTAGCTGCTGTATGTTTTTCTAACGATAACCTAAATCATCATCGACCATCATCGTTTAAAATACGTAGTGTGGTTCGACTACAGTCGTATGACATCGCATCGTTATAATCATGCCCGTGCCACCTGGGCGATGTTTATAACCGTCAAAAAATAATTTTTGGGAGACAACAACAAACAATCTACTGCAGATAATTAACTATATTATATATATGCAGGAGGATTTGCCAAGTATGATAACCCTTTTTTCTATTTTATTATGTATTTGAATTCTGATATATAGGACATTTTTAATTAGGCGGTATACTATATACGTACTTAAAGGCTTTATTTTCAAATGCTCAGATTTTGACATAATATAGGGGAAAGTCCTACGACGGTACAAACCTCTTCTTTACAAATGAAAACCAACCTTTTTTACTGTAAATTGATAACCAGTRATTTTTTTTCTTGTTGAAAATGTTAATGTGTCAATCAAAATTGAATTAGTAATTTCTAAGTTATTAAAATGTATAATATACCATAATAATAACAGAATAAATCACATAAATAATTATAAAACATATTGATTAATTAATAATTTCTATAATTTTTAAATCGTCGTTTAAATCGCCTCCATATTTTTCAAACCTATTATCATTACCTATTATTAACAAGAAAAGCTATTATTTATTATTATTCGTAATACATAATAAGACAGGGATGGAAAATTTTATTAAATAAAAAACAACTAAAACGATAACAAAAACTAAAAAACCAAAATAATATAACCACGAAATCAAAAATGAAAACGAAAGTACCTAAATTATACCATAACAAAAAAAATATATGATGAACATTAAAAATGAATTATTAATTATTAAATAAAAAACTGTTTTTAATTTTATTTTCATTAGTGTTTATCTTTATTTTGTCATTCTTATTTATTGTTTTTGTTTCAATGTCTTAGAGCATTTTTTTATTTTAATGTTTAGATGTATTTTATACAATTTTATGTTAAACTTCTAACTTCTAAGTTCAGGATTATTTTTATTATTTACTCTAGAATAGTTATTCACTTTACCMAGTGCACTTTTAAAATTAAAAAGCTTTTTAATTGAAAATTTTAATATTAAGAGTAGGTACCTAAATAATTKTAGCTTTTAAGTAGGTACCTACCAATAATGCGTGTTAATATTATTACTTAGAAGAATATATAAAAAAATAAAATAAAATTATCAAAAACGTTATTTGTAAATAATATAGAAAAGCAACAAAATAAAAACTTTTTCATCTCTGATATAATATTAAAACTTAAAATACTTAAAACTGAAAGTTCGAATTTCGATCTAGTTATTACATAACAATTGTCATGAAAACATCTGCATRACAATTAACACAAACCAATTTGATTCTCATTTGAACAAAATAAGTTATTACTATTACACTGCTATAGCTTACAGGACACTTCTTCTGAGTAAATGGTACAAAACATTCAATCATTTAAAAATACCTAAGTATTAATAATTACATGAGCGTGCTGGATGATTCACCCTACATAATATACAATGTAATATTAATGGTGATATCACCACTGCCGAGTTCTTTTGCTACGACTGTTGAAGGTATATGGTRCAATGTAATGTCTCTTAGTAAATGGAAAAAAAATGACATATATTAATAATTATTRGAATCCAGCCATCTGTTTCACTTCTTTTTCTTTTTTTWAAATCATGTTTTGCGTTTCAGCACGGAATATCATAATAAAATTATATACGGGCGGGCCTTACAGCGTGATTGGACACCGCGAGAAGTATGTTCAGTGTTTTTCCTCCAAAGATGCGATAATAAAAACAAAAACAAAATCAAATTATATCTATACATATTATGACGGCCGTACGAAATAAATAACTATTTACTTCAGTGGCCCCCATAATACACGTGGCCACCCGTAAAACTTTAAATGTTATAATATCATGACTGCGTTTACGTAATAATAACACTAATAATAGTAATACTAGTGTTCATAAACAGTATACAGATACTGCTTTATATTTTGCTGCTTAGAGTTCTCGGGAGTAACTCCAAAACGGCAATTATAGGTACATTCCCGAGRTGCACTTCAAATATTAAATTTTTTTTTTGTTTATCCGTAAACTTCCTAGATTAAATACCATTTATATATATAAAATAAATAACCTTTCACCTAACTCACCTTTAATTAAATGTTTGCATACTAAGAAAAAAAATTAAAGTTTTCAAATACATTATAGGTACACGCGTCATAATATTTATGTTTTTTGAATGCCGATGGTTGTGTGTGGAGCATGAACTTTTATGCACTTTCAAATATCAAAATTGTGATCTATGTGCAGAAACGATCTTGGAAGTATAATAGTAAAACAAAAAATTGTTCATTGTTCATGTTTATTTGATAATTATTAATGTATTAGGTGTACAAATCATTTTGTTTATACAATTTCTCTGCAAGATAATGAATAAGAAGTTATCATAGTCGTAAGTTCATAGTCGACAAAAAGTATTTTTTATATAACCTACTTCCAGACGAAATATTATTTTAAAATGTTATTCAATTTTGAATATCACTGTAGTGGCGCCCAAGATATATTTTTCAGGTGTAGCAAGAAATAATTTTACTCACCCACCCGCCCCTTCACAAACTTAAAATTATATTATTTTATCATATTTTAACTGATAATATTAGTAAATAGGTACCAACCAATATGATAATTAATAATGAACATATTTCAAGTCAATTATTTTATGTTATTATACCCACCCAYCCTTATTTTAAAGGTGTAGCAACCGCTACACCTAATAATAGAGTTGGGCGCTTCTAAATATCACATACGTAATTTCACTTTAATATGCAAAAAAATTGTTGTCATCTTGAAACCTATTATGTATAAACTGTATAAAAATATACAACCCGACAATCGTAAATATCTGTGCTTGGATAGAGTTTAAAATTGTAAAAAAWTTTCGGTATCATTGAACGATTAAGGTATTTGTTTATTTATTTTTTGATTACATAACAATAATATTAGGCATGATATAAAAGTGCGTTTCGTAAGGGAACAACACGTGTTGTGTGTCTGTAAAAAATTACTTCCGTACATGACCGAGTATTGTAATTTAGCCGTGCTTATACACATTTGACTGCACTGTATGATGTATTTAGTTTWAAAAAAACATTYGAGTCTATCCGGATCGTGTTACGTATTATTATTATTATTATTTTTTGAAGAGTATAATATACTTTTAAATTTTTGAACATAAACGATCACTATTAAACTAAATGGTCTTGTAGATTTTATGTATTGCATGATTACTGACACATAATCTGATAATGTATTGTTTACATTTTTCATTAAATTAATGTCGTGGGCTTTACTTAATATATTTGGTTATTTTTTTGGAAACGAGAAATTATGTATTATTATGATGAAGTGTTTCTGTGTTTGTGTTATGGTTTTAAGATTGATGGTATCCGCATTATTATTTTCATAAATTACTTTTTAGGGTGATTGTAAATTTTTAATTATTATAATATTATTTTATGAACAATTTTTATAACAACAATAACAAAAATAAAATAACTATTTTCAAATATGTCATGATTGCCCCATCTGTTTAAATTATTATAAATATTTTTTAATTCGCGTASAAAAATTATCGCTGTTAAAAAAATATAGTATTGTATCTATGCTAGACGAATCAATGCGTTAGGGTTAAATGGTCGCATGTAATGTTCACCGTGCCGAATAAAAAATTAGTGAAGCATGATATTCACCGGAAGTGCAGTTTACCTATTCACTTATTCGATAGGTAGTAACATATTTTTTTTTAACATGACGCCATATTTGTTGAGATTTTATTGTTAGCAAAAAATTTGATTAAACATTTCAAATACCGTTTAAATTAGACTACTGTTAGATGGGCTTCTTTTTTTCAACATGTTTTCCATACTTGTATGGCTTAATGTGTGGTATTCGATTGTCTTAATTACAATACTTGTTTTGTTTAACTAGTAGAAATAATGACTATGATCAGAAAATAAAAATGCTGTGTATTATTTGAATAACTCATTTTAGTAATTTTATTTAAATAATTTGAATGCCTTTAGTGAATAAAAACATTAAAAACTGATCACATATAAAAGTAATTAATGTCAGTTAAATAATCGTAAGACAGTATCAATAAAATCTATAAGTGCTTCTTACCTCCTTCTACGTTTTTTGAGTAAGGTCGTACATTTTTTTTTYCGTTAGATATAGTATAGGTAACCACTCTAGCAACAACCTAAAATTTTGAATTAAATATTTCCAACTGAATTCAAACAATAATCAATAAGTTAAATGTAAGGTTAAAAATCATTCAGGTAGCACTCGAGTGGTATGTGAGTTAATTTTTTTCCTATGGTCTTTACTCTTTATTGATTAGAGTAAAAATATAAAATAAATAAACACGTGTTTTTATTGAAGGTATAATATAATATATCATATTATAGATAGGTATGCCTTCTTTCTATATATAAGGCAGTTCCTCGAATCGTATCACCCCAATCGATATGTCCTTCTATATTATTAGTAACTACTTACCTATAGTAATAATAACTCGTTTATATAWATAATAAAATAACAAACAAAATTTACATTATAATTTTTTTGTTTGTCACAGGAAATCAGAAAACTTTTAATCGAATTTCCTGTTGAAAGCATTCATATCAGTACGACATCTGGAAGTAGCATGGCTCGAGTCACTTTGGAGGACCCGGAACTTAGGATGGAAGAATGGGATTTTCACAAGCAATTCGTGTTGAGAGGACAGCGTATACCAGTGTCCCCGACTCCCACTGAAATGCTTTTGTGCGTAGCCAGGTTGCCATTCAGCTACACGGAGGATCAGTTCACTCGGTTGGTGCAAATGTACGGGGAGGTTCGCAAGACGTTTCTGATAATCAGYGAGAAAACCGGCGAGAGCAAAGGATATGGATTCGTCGAGTATTTGAACAAGGAGTGCGCGATCACGGCCAAATGTGGTCTGGACGGCAAAGGGATCGAAGACCAAACACTTGTCTGCGATTGGTTAGACGGCAGTCATATCACGTACGAGTCACTTCATTCTAAATGCCTGTATGTGGACAACTTGCCCAAGTCGTTCAGAGACATGAGCGAATTCCGTAAAATGTTCGCCAAAGTCGTGAATCCGCCATATTGCCAGGTCAGTATCTATATAGAATTAACGACCACGACAGTATAGTTACCTACTACGTATTATGTTATTGTTGTTTAATCGACGCTAAATCGAATAAATCTATTGTCTAGATTGCGCTTAAAAATGGATGTCCGTTAGACTGGGGTCTAGTTGAGTATAACACAGCTGAAGATGCAGAACGAGCGCAATCGGAGTTGAACGGACATGCACTKAGAGGCCATAATATTCGCATAACTTACTATATACCCGGAGTCAGAGCTATAAATTTGTTTTTGAAACTTTTGAACGAACCGGTAATGGCGTAAAACCATTTAATATATTTTATTATTATTCAATTTTAATTTTAAAAAATAATAATGTTTTTTTTTTTTTTTCTTAAGAGTAAATCTAAATGCGGTGGGCTCTTGCCAGACCCTCCTCAGGAAGTCATCGAGCAATCATTACAAAACCTTTCCAAACAGAATCCAATCTGTAAGTACCTAATAGGCAATTGTACAGTATTAGTTTAAAGTTATTTTTCTAATTTTTTTTTAAATTTAAGTTGCACAAAATCTTCAAAATATTATTTTTAATCAAATCAAAGCCGCTCAAATGGGATCTGAATTGCAAGATTTTAACGACTGTAAGTTTGTTAAAATGTTAAATTTAATTTTTTTTATTGACTTAAATATATTATAACTGATTTTTATTATAAATATTTATAGCAACAGTGAGATCACATTTAATGAATAGCAAAGCTCCACCGACTATGTTGCATTCTCCAACAAGTTTATCTTACATGGGTACCACTCCAGAGGTAAATTAATTTTTTTGTTGTTATAATTGATTTGTAAACAATTATATTATCTTTTTATTTTGTTATTTTAGACTTATGGTTCAAGGTTATTACCTAGCCCGCCTGTTGGAGAAGTTCCACCACATTTGAATTCTGGATTATTTGATGCAGACTTGACCAACCCACTACTGGCTAATTATTATAGAGAACTTATAACCGCTCAGATTATGGCTGGAACACAAAAGGCTAATGGCTTTGGAAGTTTGACTGCCAACCTTAATCCTGCCTTTGTTGATACTGTTCAACAAACAACAAATAACAGTAGTACTTTGAATCAGATTGATGCAGTACAAAAAGTATATCAAAACCAAAATTTACAAAGTATTGGCCAACAATTAGCTCAACAAATAGCTCAACAACATATAGCTCAACAACAGATGAATCAACAGTTAGTGCATCAACAACAACATAATAATATTGGTCAACATAATATAAGTCAACAACAAAATGTTGTGATTAATATCTATGGAGGTGTTAATACTACTACACCTCCAGCAACACCAACTCCAACTACACCTACTTATCCATTTGGTTCGTCATTATCTCTTAACTTGGATCAACAGTGGCCAAAAAATACTCAGGCTTCAACAACTGATTCGTATCTAGCCAGTCCCATTGCTGCACCTGAAAAATCTTTGAGTTACTCGCCATCATCTACATGGTCCTCTATGCAGAGTATCGCTTCAACTCCCTCCCCGCAATCTATGTATTCTCCTTTGGCTCCGAATATCTGGACACCTACTTCATCCACATCATCGTTGTCAAATCAACATGAATCAGCTCGTGGGCAAAAAAGAGGTATTCCTCCATCCCCTGAACTTAGTCCTGAGGGTATGTATATTGGACAACATTCACAAGGAATTGGAGGCCACTATGCCGATTCCTACTTGAAACGTAATAAGAAAAATTGAACTCCGTCCTCAACTTAGCTTTCTATGTTTTACTTAAAACGTACATAATTTTTATGTTAATTTCATAGTCCAGGACTCGTCATTATTTTGTATTTTAATTTTAATGTTAGATTTGATAATTAACAAAAAAAAAAAAATTATTATAGATTAGCTTCTGTTCGTGTTTTATGAGGGTAGTTACACTATATCTCATAATTTGAAACAAAAACCCTTAAATGGCATGCGTGCAACTTATCTATTTCTTTTTTCTTTATAGCACCTCCATATTTATTTTTGATTTATTAAAAATCCTGGACTAATTT